AATTTCCTTAGCTCTGCACCACTGCTCTATAAATAAAGATGCTGCATATTGAAGAAGTGACCGTCGTGTGAGGTGAGGATTGCTGTGTCATCAGCATAGGTAAAGATAGAAATAATGCAGTTCCCTGATGAGTATGAGATGGTACGCATGAGGGAGGGTAGTTCAAAGCAAGCCCGAGTACCAGATTGAAACCTGTTACAAATCATTTCTGGGAAATGACCATCGGTCCAGGAGTTTCTCTAGAATTTTAGCAAGGATAGGTAGGAGACTAATGAGCCGACAGGAACTATTAAGATAAGAAGGTTTATTTGGTTTATGAATCAATTTAATCATAGAGAACTTTCATTGCAATGAAAATATGTGGTTCTGAGTATAGGTATGTTGAGTAAAGTAAACCTCTGTAGTACAAATTGTGTAATAGTGTCACACCCTGGAGCTTTCCGAGGAGGTAGTTATTTATTAAAGTGTCGTCTAATAGAATAAATGCTTTAGGATAAAAAGAGAGTTGCAAGGAGATATTCAAGTCGTTTTCAATGTTACGCCGGTGATTCTGGTCAAGTAAATCTTGATGTGGAGTGAATATTGTAGCTGCTCTGCAAACAATTTAGCTATGGCAGAATTTGATTTGGCTCAGTGTGTTATCTCTACGTATAAGTGAAGTGTGGTTCTTCGTAGTATCATACCGGTACAGTACCGTAGGGAGATATCTGTTTTAGTAAGCGAAGTAGTGTGGGTTGTACATTTCAGCCCTTAGTTTTGCCTGTTCTTGTTTAAGTTTTTTCGTTACTTAGTTCATCCGTCGCTGACTCGGATTAAAGTAAACAAAAAAGTTTTTTATTTATAAAACAATACTTGGAAAAAGAATTGGCGAACTCTACTTTCCAAGGGCAAAATTTTAGGTGGATCCATTACCTTAAAAAAAAATTCCTGCCGAATAAACACGAATAAGTAATCCATGCTTTTAGAAGTACATTTTTCAGGATAGTTATAAAGTTTTATTTAAACTTTTTTAATGAAAAGTAGGAAAATTTTAATTATCATCTACAGTATTGATATTTTCGGCTCAACCTTTACGTTGTGCATCAATCAAGGTTTCATCTTACAAAAAAACCCGAAAGAAACTTGACGTGAGTGATAAATGAATTTTTAAGCTGGGCCAATTATGAGCCACGAAAAACCCCGGGGGGCTCGCATTTATGATATTTCTCGAAACGCCTTATGAAAAAAAAACGCCCTTAAATAATTTTCCTCCTCGTGAAATTGTAACTGTAAGAAATTCTAATAGAGTCAAATGGAGTTGGCCGGAGGGTGAGGGATGATGAAGAATTTTTATGAGATCCCTTGGACGGGGCGAGTCCGTAATTCTCCTTTGAAATATCCCTCGGAGACAAGATAATCTTTATCCTCAGAGTAGTAGATGGAAGATAAGATGATGCGGAAATCCAATACACAAGATTGCATGTAATTCGATTATTAATATTGAAAAATTATTCGGCCATAAGATATTGATTATCAATGATTCAATTCAAAAAGATAACGGTCAAGTTTTGCCACTTATGAAATAACAAACTATTCTATGACAAGAATGAAACTATATTATATAGGAACGTTATTGACTACACACTTTACTGAAATAGATATTATTTAAACAACTTTATAAATAGTTAATCTATGTCATAAATATTTTTACTTCTTCATGTCAGTCTCAAAAGTCTTTATGAATTTCGTGTGTGGTGATTAGTGACCGTTAATCGATAATTATTCAGTAATCGTGAGATGCGCTCTCGTGTGATGTAGGTTTCAGAAAAACATTTTCTTTATCGTGCCAACGTTTCGATCTTTATTTAGATCATCTTCAGGGCCTGGGATTTACAAACATTGTTTACATTTAACAAATACATTTAGGATGTGGAAAAGTGAATTTATACAATGCAAAATATATTTTTTTATATTCAATCAAAGTATTTCTACTCACTCAAAGTGTTTGTCTTCTGTGTGTCGGTATAGAAGACATTTTTGTATAAGGCGTCGGCTTCTTTGAGGAGAAAAGAGCCGGCGAAGGGAAACAATGTGTTGGTAATGGTTCGGCCAGATTATCCTTTCAGGATTATATAGAAAGGGATAAATAGGAAAAGGAAGGCTAAATTGGTGGACAATTAGACTATGTGAAAAATATTTGACGTGTGGAATGTAATGTAATGATATATGTATGTTATCTATATTGAATTTGATTACATGTATCTGTTCTATAATTGATGCTGTGTTTTTCTCTGTTCATATAAACCATTTCTAAGAAATTACGTTTTTGTTTGTTTTGTTCTGTATGTAATATTTATGACCTTAAACAAAAATGACTTTTCTATACCGACTTCCTTCCCCACCCCTTCAATATCCAACGTATATAAACATAAAACACCAAAATCTCACTGGCACTCTCAACACGACACGCAAGAATGGCACAATTACACAGAAGACAAACACTTCGAGTGAGTAGAAATATTTTGATTGAATAAAAAATAATATATTTTGCATTGTATAAATTCACTTTTCCACATCCTAAATGTATTTGTTAAATGTAAACAATGTTTGTAAATCTCAGGCCCTGAATATGATCTCAATAAAGATCGAAACGTTGGCACGATAAAGAAAATGTTTTTCTGAAACCTACATCACACCAGACCGCATATCATGATTTCTGAATAATATATGAATTTCGTTTGTGCAATTTTTAAATTCACCATTGACGTATAGCTTTTTAATTTTTATTTTGAATAATTTTTTTTAATAGTGACCGGTTGTTTAATAATGTGTTGGATTCGTGAGGAGCGGCCAAGAATAATATTATTTTGAACAATGCTACATTGGCAGTTGGAATAATTAAATTCGTTTCCTAGGTAAATGTGATGTATGAGGTGATGTATGAAATGATTTTTGTCGCGTTATAAATAAAAGAAATCTTGTTTTTTCTTCTTTTTCTCATTTAGACATATTTCAGTAAATAGAATTAACACTACAAAAAAAAAAAAAAATACAAATATTTTCTAACCAGGTTACAATACCAATCTCGCTCGGAGTATACTGATATAGTACTGATTAAAATAAATAATGTGTGACAAAACGATGTATCCAAGTAGGTGAAAATTTTTTTTTACCAAAAACAAAGTTGATATAAGTTTTACGCACCAAAAAAATGCAATACTCCAAGCGAGATTGGTATTGTAACCTGATTTTAAAAAATTGTATTTTTTTGTAGTACAAATTCCATTTAATGAAATATGTTTTAACGAGAAATAGAAGGAAAAAAAACAAGGTCTCATTTTGTTTACAACGCGACAAAAATCATTTCATACCTCATGCATCACATTAACCTAGGAAACGAGTTTTAATTATTTCAACTGCCAATACAACATTGTATTGGCGTCTAAATAAAAAGTCCTAGAAAAATACACAAATATTTTTCCCTCAAATTTCTGTATGTTAGGTTTTGTCTCCAGTGGGCCGTTCGCATTCAAAGGTGGGTGGAAGTTCCTCCGCATTACATAATCTGCAGATCGGATCATCGTTATATATGCCTCTATATATGTATAAGTTATGTAGATTTTGTCTCGGATGGCAGTGACCGGTTAGTAGTCCTATCAATCCTCTGAGTCTAGCCCTCTCCTGCAGCAGTGAGTTTCCCAGACTTGGTGAGGGTTGTTTTAGCATAAGTTTACTATGTCAAGCACCTCTAGAGTTTATCCACTTCGATTTTGTTTTATTTGGATTCATTCGGTGATGAAAAATTCGTGTGTTCTTGCAGATCCTCCTATGGCCAGTCTGTCTGCTTTCTCGTTACCTAAAATTCTTTTGTCTTCTGGCACCCAATATATCATCAGGTTGTTGTTGTCTTTCCCCAGGTTTTGGAGGTTTTCAGTGCATTCACTGACTAGTTTTGATGTGATATTTTACAAGCTAATGCTTTAACAGCTGCTTGGCTATCCGATCTTATGAGGGATTTTTTCTCCAGTGTAACCTCTGTTAAGCTTTTCTAGGGCACAAGCATTGACAGCATGGATCTCTGCTTGAAAGACCGAGGTGTACTTCCCTAATGAGTTTAATTGCTCATACGCTTGCTTGTTCCTTTCGTTTATTTCGGAGCCATCTGTATACCATATCATTTAATCTGATACTCTAATCAGTTTTCCTCTCCTTTCTAGACTGTTGACGTAGAATGAAAAAATAAGAAATAAAGGTATCTAACTGTTGTTACAGCTTTGACTTCTTTTAAAGCGCAGAGAAATTATGAATTTTTAAGTGAAACACCAGCACTGGAGAAAATAAAATTGCACCCGGCGAATTCAGCTCAAAAATATCTGATTTTCGATTCGTACAAAAATTCATATTTAATTTTTTAGCCCACTTGACTGGGAGCGTTGTTTGATTTTTGTAATATTTTATATACGTAATCTCATTTTATAAGATATTACTACTTTTTTATCCTGGTTAAAGAAAAAATATTAAATTGGCTAATATATAAAATACTCGAAATACTCTTTTTTTCTCGGCTTCTAGGGTACATTGCCCAGAACGCTCCAACACGTGTCTAATATTTTTCGACCTAGTATTATATAAAAAAGTTAATATCGTTGATGCCACGTCCGTAGCCACCCATTGTTACTTATATTTAGTATCGAACCGAACACAAGTGGAATAAAAAACATAAATAAAATAAAATAAAAGGCTACCAGCTTTACTTTTATGGCAAAAACTTCAAATATTTCTTTTGTTGTTGCGACTGTTCGTAATGGAATTCTATCAAATATGACCAAATTTGCGGGATTCTTTGTACGAAAACTCCTAGATTACTCCAGCATTCCATTTATACGATTAAATACTTATATATTTCATTACTGTTACCCCAAAAGGATGTTTTAAAGTTAGGTTTTTAACGTACAAGTGTAAACATGTGTGAATATCTTCTTATTCGTTCAAATAGTAAATAATTTTATTGTAGTAAATACCTTTCTTGTTTTTTTCTAAAGTCGAGTCTTTTTCGCTATGTTCCTCTTCGGGGGAATTGATAGAGAGCTTATGGCAGACGTCGAACGCCTGGCCGACGGTCCGTACGACTCGCATCGCCTGACTCTGAAAAGAAAAATATGCTAAAATAAAATCTAAAAATCAGTTGAATTATGTAGAAATATTAAGTTTTAATTATGATCAAGTCTGTTAGTTCCAAAATTTTGTTTATGTTATTATATCCTTTTGAGGACGTGTATTGTCAACTGATTACTTATTTATATAAGCACAAATCTGCACATAGCCTATCACTTCTCGCAGTTCCCCTGCAATTCCAGGTTTTTGATTTAAAATAAATCGACGGTCCTCGAGATTCACCTACCCGGGTTTTGGCAGTTCTGGGTCAGACCTCGGTATATCCGTCCAGCAAACGAGGTTGGGCTCCAGGTGGTGTCAAGAGCTAGGTTATTTCAGCTTTTGCATTCTTTCCTATTGACTGACCATTCAATCAACCGAGGATCGAGTACGCCATCACATTTTACACTTATTATACATAACTATTATATTATACATAATTTATGGTCGAAGGATACACATTATTCCGCCATTGGCCAGCTTACACTGCACTTTCACGCCAGAAAAATACATTCACTATCGATATATACAAGGTACAAAAAAACTATATATATATATATATATATATATATATATATATATAAAGTGAATATTCGTATGCGTGTTAATGACAAAAACGAAAACTACTGATCCGATTTTCATGAAACTTTCACAATTTGTTAGTATTAGTGTCGGGCGGGTTTAGAGAATATAAAATGGGCTATAAATAATGGCCGTTAGGTTTTCCAAAAAACAGAGAGGTTTCAGGAATTTGTGGCCACCATTTTCACAGCTGTCAGCTCAGCTGTCCAACAGGCCTATGGCTCCCGGTGTGGTACACGTTTCTCGCGCCTTTCAAATTCCGATTTGGAAGCGCTAACGGTGAATAGACGAAAAAGCTAAGCTAGCACTCTATAGTCGCAAAAATTACTGAATCGGTCATAGTTGCAAAACTGCTCATACATTATAGTCGCAAAAACTACAGAATAGACTATACGCAGCAGTCGTACAGGTACGAAAACGAACTACCAGGGGTGAAATAATATATACACTTGTTTCAAACCGAACCAATTCCCTATGGAATCATGCAAAATAATCATTTAAATAAACAAGAAGGAGGGAAAATTCAAAAGGTGCGGTTGAGATGGGAAGTTGGTGTCCGAGTGGATCGAGGTCACGATAGCTCAAGTGGTAGAGCAGCGGCGTATCAAGCCGAAGATCGTGGGTTCGAATCCCGCTCGTGCCTTTGACTTTTTTATCTCAACTAAAAACCTTAATTAATTGTAATAAATAAACAATATTTTCTATTACATTATTAAACATATTAACTTAAATTAAAATAATACTTTATTAATTATTCAAAATAACCAAGTAAAGCGAAATAATATCTTCTTTAAATTATGAAAATAATGAAATAAATAAAAATAAATATTTCCTGTACGAAAACGAACTACCGCCATATGTGTGACTTTCCAGTTCAATTGATTGCAATTTCCAATTAAACTGTCTTTTGCAGTAATGGTAAACAAATCACAAAGTCAATCATTGCTATCATGTCAATTTGGAGAATCCATGGTTTTCTCTGGGCAACGCCAGGTTATAAAGCTAGAACACAGCAAAACAGCCCTGTTTCTTCCAAAAATTGGAATAGGGGTCGCAGATATTCGCTGCCATGCTGAAGCATTCCCATATGGGATGGCAAACACGCTCTCTCTATGGAGGCAAGGAGTTTCTAGTTACCTTTTAATTAGGTGGGACTCACTGAGCAACTTTTCTTTACATTCCGGCATCTACGCGGGCTTTGGCCCAAAAGTATGTGTCCGTGTGAGGATGACCCATCGTCTACGAGACCTCCGAGGGTCACCTATTGACACGGTTCTTGAGAGAGGTGTATTCACTAGCGTAAAAATATTCGGCATGACCCTATCATTAGTAGTTTTCAGTCTGTTATGCTCAATAAAATACTGTAGCTTTAAAGAATAGGTAGTTAATCAATTAGTTCATTGAAAAATATATAGTTCAGGATTTTTCTCTCATTTTCTAAAGGTTAAAAGATGTTAACTTTGTTATCTTTGGCAGTTTTTTAGATTTTCAATACGTATAAAAGTTCGAAGTCCCATAATGTCTGACAACAGAGGACGTCTTGGAAAAGAAACCCCCTGCCCTTTGATGTATTACAACTGGCAATTTCTGAATACTGAGACTAGGCAAAAAAGGGACTTTTTGCTACAAAGGGAACGCTCACGTGAGCAGAACTTCCACACACAGTTTCAGTAGGAAGCGAAACACGGAACATTCCGAGCTAAGCGCGGTCAGCCGTAAAACACGTTTAGTAGACTTGTAAGGTTAAGTGCAGTCCCACAACGAAGCCTGGCACTTTTACACTCGTACTTTTAAAGAAATTACTTCTACTTGATCAAAAAAAATCTGAACACTATCGTATTAATTATTTATACATATACATAAACTACCATTAAAACTACGTTGTTGGAAGAAGAGGTTTACCTCGATTGGGAAACAACGCTCCTTACCGTTCAGTGAAATTTTGCCGGAACTACTATTCTTCTTAACATTCCTAGACCGAATGGGTTAAAGGAAAAGATAAATAAAAATACATGCACATAAACATGACAAAAAGTATATTACAAAAATAGTCCGACCTGGCCAGGTGAACAGACGAAAAGGCTAAGCTAACAATCTACAGTCGCAGAAATTACTGAATCGGTCAGAAAATAATAGATACAGTTATTTCAAACCGAATCAATCAAACCCCTATGGAATCATGAGAAATAATCATTTAAATAAACAATATTTTCTATTACATTATTAAACATATTAACTTAAATTAAAACAATACCCTATTATTATTCAAAATAACCAAATAAAACGAAATAATATCTTCTTTAAATTATGAAAATAATCAAATAAATAAGAATAAATATTTCCTGTAAGATAAATTAATAAATAAATCGCAAGCGAAATGCTTCAGTTCAAGGAAGCCCCTTAAGGGCAAACAGTTTGATGCGAGAGGTGCCGGCCGGCAGAAGGAAAGGTCTGACCTGAAAGAAGATGTGGCGGAAAGGCGTGCAGCGATGTTGTGTCTTCGATGCGGCAGATCGGCGGATGTAGCGTCAACTTCCAGAGTCGGCGATCGAAGAGTGTCCGATCCAAATTCTTCTTACGATGAAGAATATCAGGCGTGCTTGACCAACGCTGGTTATTTTCGCTCGATAAAACGTTAAAATAAAGGAAATTTTTACGCGTGCGTCTTCGAGTCGTGTATCCTTTGCACTGATACGCCCCCGCACCTTCCTCGTTATCGGGTGGAGCTACGGATTAGGCAGCGATAAGAATGTGCTGTCCGTCCTAATCAGTTCAAAGACGACGTATTCACGGTCATTTCACCTTTTCACTAAATTAACAATTTTTTTAAAAAACCATTCTCGGAACACAGACCTCCTAACTAATAATAAAATAATACATTTCTCTAGGCGTAAACATGCGTAATAACTAAATTAAGTCCCTAAGCAATTTTGTTGATATCCTTTTTACAAAATTGAAGTTTAACGGTTTTTTTCTAGGAAAGGCAGTTCTACATAAAAATCTATGTATTTCAAAATAAGGATTCACTTAAAATAAGTTCAAAAAATTGAAGCTGCATAGAACGACCTAACGACGAATTTATCTTTATATTAAAAGTTATTTTTACTCAAGTGCAAATATTCCTCCAGCTTAATTAAACACCCTTTCAACAGGGAAAACCACGGCTTTATACCCTAGGCATTGACGGCAGGTATCTCTTCTTGAAAGACCGAGGTGTATTTTCCTAATGAGTTTCATTGCTCATATGCTTGTAGAGAAAAACCCGATCCGGTTCCTTCGTTTATTTTGAGCCATCTGTATACCATATCATCGTTTTTGATGCTGTACTGAGTTCTTCCGCTCCTTTATAGTCTGTTGAGACTTTAAAATATGTTGTAAAGTATGTGACCATCATCACCATCATCCTTCAGATTTTCACCTTACAAAATGCCTCTGATTTTCTTTTCGACTAAAAATGGCGATCAATTAAAAACAACTCAACCAATATACCTAAAACTTTACAGTGGCTTAGATCCTTATATAGTACATAGAATGGCATAAACGTTGTCTCCGCATATGTACGACGGGTGGTGTAATGTGGTTAAGGTTCGGAGCCTTGGAAAGGTGCACTTCGTGTCCTCTCCACGTTCCTTTCTCAATTCAGGTTCCTTCATTCTATCCTGTGACCCCCCTCCCAACCTTTGGTTACAAGGGGGTGTCCGGGCGCAAAATAACGATGTAGCCCAGATGGCGTTGCAACCTTTCTAAAGCACAAGCTGTACGTGTGTCGGCCTCGGGTGCCTTATCAGAGGCAGACGAGGGTTAGGATACCAGATTCTGTCTGCATAGACGGGGGAGGGTGCAGAACCATCTGTACTACGGGGTAACAGAAATGTTCCAAAATTCAGCCGCTGTTACACTGGGAGTGGATTCGTAGTGGTACGTGGTAACGCCTCTGGCGGAACAGAGGCTGTCTTCTACCTATGACCTTCGCACGAAACTTCCGTATGACTACCGTTATACACCCGGCCAAAAGTCCCTCGAATGCGTGAGTAGTGGCGGATGGGAACGGGTAGTGAATCGATAGCTCCTACTCGAATATGCTTTGCACGTAGGTGAAGGCTGAGTTCGATTGGAGGCTATTACCGTAGGCAGTACTCTTTTAGGGGGTGGTTAGCAATTTCACTATAAAGAAAATCGCGGCCGGAGCGGATCTGGTAGTTTCTACGCTGAAAAAGCCCTAATACTCTGGGAGGTAGAGTGGCCTTCTGTACCTAGGGAGTGCGCGGAGACCGGGCTGATGTATTTCGGCTTAGATAGCCCTTTGCGCGCGGCATACGGTCTGATGCATAATGCAGACCCAACGACTCAGAATGGACAAGCGCGGAGTGAGGTTCGTCTTGGCTCCTCAGGGGACAGTTTCTACACCA